GGAAACTATTTTATTAACTAAGGATTTTTTAGTGTCCCTCCTCATGCAGGACTCGAATCTTGTTCTATGAGCAATTAGAAGTCATTACGGTCAGATTTTTTCCAGTGTATCTCCACGCTTGTTAGCCAACTAGGAATCTCTGTCAACTTCTAACCCTGAGTTTATTTGGACGTTGCTATAGACCATTACCGTATATCGTAGTAATCAAAAATTGGCTCCTCATCATATGTTTTCATTTTGTTTTTAAACACAACACGCGTTTGCTTATTCGATTGGTTTTGTTTTAATATTATGAGCTGGGGTGTGCGATAGACTTACCTCCACGTGGTGCACCCTGGGCAGCGTATACTCATACGTCATAAAAGTCTATTAACTGGCGGTTGACTTATCACTTCAAACTACCATGACCCCACTGTATGTCATATTCCACTTCTTCCGTAGTACTCACCTAACCTTGCCTTTTTCTCTGCCTTTGTGTCTGTCTCTTTTACATCTTTGAAACGCTCTTTTGTTCCCCCACCCCTCTCGATTTTTTTCACTTTGATATTCATCTTCCTCTCTGCAAAGCCTGAAGTCAACTAAAGGGCTAATGATAACTATCAAAACGCCTGCCATTTGATATAAATAAATATTATAAGCTAATGTAGAGTTTACCTTGTTTTATCCTAACTTCCCCCATCACATTTGCACCAACGGATATTTGTTTCACTTTATTAAATCGAAAGGGAAAACCCTTGCTTTCAATTATCAAAATCATTCCGGAAAATGGAGGTAGGTTTATTTAAATAAAAATAAAACGCTCATCTTGAGTATAAAGTGCCGCCAAAGAGAGCCTCTCCGTAAAGAGACTCGAATTTCGCTCATTGAGTCAATGAGAATCTTCCTGAGACTTCTTGCTTTTCACCTCAGCACGGTGACATTTGCACAAACAAGGAACGAGAGCATGATGACTGCTCCGACGCTCTCATTGAGGTTTGATTGATAGCATTGTAGAGTCACCTTGGGAAGAAATCCAATCTTTGCCCCAGCCCCTCTATTATCCACAATTTGGTATTTCCAAAGACAAAGGAATTTAGTTGCAAACTTTTACAACAGTGCGTGAAATATTGTCAGACTAGTCAATCTTGCATATAATATAGTTTTTATTACCTATTTGCACAATGGTGAAGGTATGCGAAGCAGCCTTGGAATAGGAAACAACCTTCACTACTACTGAGAAAATGATAGGTCATGATTTTGAGGGTGGATCAGTGAAATCCTCGTCGATTTCCATGTCTAGAGGCTTAAGATGACTGCACACCGCGTTATGTCTTTAAATTTTCACTTTTGATCATATTCATCTCTAGATGAAGCCGACGTTGAGAGCGGTGGAGCCATGAGTTCAAGGAGCCGAAAACTCGCCAACGCTTTACCGACAGATGAATTGATTCCGATTTACCGCCGAGATTGCCACACAGAGGTTTACTGTGGTAGCCATCAATACCCCGGTTGTGGTGTATATGTCTTAAAGTTTGACAACTCCTTCTCCCTATGGCGTTCCAAGTGGCTGTATTATCGGATTTTCTATGGAAAGTGAAGTCAACCATCCGCCCTAATCTCTCTCCACATAAATCCTACCTCCTACTTGCTGTTTTTTCCTCTTGTTGTGGTGATGCCAATTCATCTTGTGCAATGTCTTTTTCTCCATCTCCTATTGCTCTCCTCCTTGCAAGTCTTGTCTTTATCCCTCTCCTCTCATCTCTCACGTAATACTTGTTGCCGTATCACTGATGTTGCATTTTGACTCATTTTTAGATGCTTTAATCTCTCTCCACCTTGTGTCTCTACTTATATATGTTCATAATGATATCAATGCGTGTGTATTTTCACTGTTCCTCCTCATATCTAATCATTTGGCTATATTAATTGGTGCTTAAGTCACCACCACCAGTATTTTGGAATATTCCTATTGGATGGTGGGACAGCGTCGTGAAGTTGCCCAGGTGATGAGCTCAATTTCTGTCACTCTATTGGCTTGAATTAATGTTGGCTTTTGACTTTTCAGGCGGTCACGACGACCGCTCTGCCACCTGCGACACACTCTTATTTAATTATTTTCGCTAATTTTTGGTTCGATGGGTTTGTTTTGGACAATCTTCGGTTTATTGGCTACATCATGACTAGATAGGCAGGACGTCTTACCTACTCCCCGGGTTGCAAGCATTAAAATAAACCCAAACACACTATTGGAGTTTATGGGATTGCTACTGGGGAGGTCAGACGCTTCTTGCCCACACGGTTTTAATATGTTTTGACTAATAGGTTTCAAGGTTTACTCAATGCCTTTTAATAGAAAACAGGATCCCTTCGAATTGGATGACTAATGATTGTCGTTTGGTATACAACTTCCTGAGCGTCGTTTAATTGGTTATGATGGTAAGAAATAGACGCAATTTTCCCCAAAATGTTGCATTTTTCGCATGAAATCAATGAGGACGTAAAGATAAAATGTTAATTATCCAAGTTAGTAAAGTGAGCACACAGTGGATGCCACAACCTTGAATTTACCGAGGTAACAGAACATGACTCCTGAAATGTGATTTTCAAAGTATTAAATATGCATTTATATTATGATAACGAGATTATAACGCGCAAGGTCAACCTAAAAATCGAATTGATTAAAGCTTTCGGATCGGATGTTTTCTAACAATCCAAACTGTACTATTATGGCCTTGTGGTGGGCAATGAGCAAGTAGTAAAATCAAGGAATTGTATTTTAAGATCAAATATATAAAATTAACTTCCATTCATTAGACGTTCGATTCTTTCCCACAGAGCTTTTACCTATCCCATGAAATTCAGTCTAGGGAGAACTAAACCTGCAAGCATTTGATAGTACCCATATAAGGGAAACAGAGTTTTAAGTGTTACTATGGTTGTCAAGGCGATGCCAAAAAATGATTTGCTCCGAATGCATTAGAGAGACGGTTTTGTCTTTCTGGAGGGGGGGAAGATGGGCTCATCCTCTCCCATCTATTAATAACTCTGCTGAAGCCGTAATTATGCTGATTTAATCTACTAGTAATTATTAGAATGGTTATTATCCAGGTTTGGGGAAATAAATATTAACAATTTTTTGTCGCGCAAAAAAATCTTCAAGACGAAGAAATAAATTTTGTTTGTTAATCTACCATCTAGGTCTCTGGAACGGATTGCAACACGAAGAAGCCTTGGCTTAACCTCAGCAGTCTCTATGGAATGGCTCCCGAAATTTCCCTTAAACTACCTATAAACTATGGAGGAAAAACAGAGTGTATGGAGTGACTTTTGTTTAATGTGGTTGTGGCACTTACGCAGAGCCTTGTCATTGAAATAAAATTTTGGCTATTGATTGGCTGATAGGTCTCTGCGCTCACGACACACGTGCCCCCTCCCCCTCCCTAACGCGATGAGCGGCACACCACACTCGATCACTACGGGATCATCATTAACGCACCGCCCTTTCCAGAAAGTTCCAGTGCATGAGATTACTTGGTTCAGCCATGTTGGCGCTGCGTTCTCCATAGCTTCGACTGGTTAACCATACTGAAAGTAGCTTCATGTCTTCAAACGGACTTTAAATTGCTGATATATCTGTAATGCGCATCATTACATCTTTAGCGATTTCAATAAACAATGCGAAATTTACTTATTACTATTGACGTTTCAGTACCTAGAATTACACTCAAATAATCGGATTATATCTATTATTCTGAGCATGGAATTTTACAATAACCTAAAATATTTCAGCATGTTGTGATTTTACACGCAACGGTGAATGAGGATTTGCCCTTTTCCAATGCTTGAGAAAATATCGTTTTCTTCTCGATTTTCCACATCTCCTAAATTTATTTTGACCCAAATTATCTGGCAGAATCCATTCAGATTACCTTGCTTTATTAGGTGAATTAATTAACGGATGATAAAATTATTAAAATTATCAATCCAATTTGTTATTTAGGGCAGAACCATGAGACAGCTACCTCCAGACACAAACCCAGTACATTTCTGTAATATCTCAAGCAGTATTCAATTCTCTCCGCGAAATGTTAACTTTGAATAGAATAGAGCCGGAAATTATAAGTTCAGGGATGTGGTTTAAACCATGCAAGGGATGTTACAACAATAGACTCTGACTGAAACTCGGTAATCTTCTCTTGCAGAACCCCCAAGGATGAAATTTCTCCTCAAATTAGTTAAATTACCTCAGCAGTGTCGAGGCAACAGAGGGTATGGAATGAATAGCTTCTGCTACAGTTTATATGGGTCACTGACACAAGCTTACGCATTGAAATACAGTTAGTGCAAACGCTACCAATGCCATGACTATTGATTGGTGGTTGCCTGAGAGGTCACCTCACCCCTTCTCCCTTACGCGATCGGTAGCACGACCGCACTTTCGAGCACGCATAAGTCGCCTTTGGTCAGCATTGGTGTTTTTGTGCACTCCACGTATGTAAGCGTTGCACATTCTAATTTCGCAAAAACAGATTTAGTGATGTGTTGAAGAAAGCGAAATTCAACATCCAAACAAATTTTTTGGATTATTACAAGAAAATGGAGACTGCTCTTTATGTTTCAAATCAACTTTACAGATAATTTGCATTTAAATTACTTTAAGAATAAAATGATTTGGAAGTTGAAATTTGGATTGTTCTCCCAAATGAAAGATTCGCATGCATTTTACCTGAAATTTTTCTTTCCTAATATTTTTTATTCTGGACACAACAACTTTAGTTGTGCCCCCAATAAACAGCTATCTGGCGACGTTCAATAATGATGGCATTGGTTGCAGCAAATTGAATGGGTATAATCTTTAGCCAATGTGAATACTGATCTTCCCAGAGAGTCTCCTCGGACTGGTCTTAGAAGACTGAGATCAATGTGGACATATAACATTCCGAAGCTTTAGTTATTTATATCAAATGGTAGGCATTTCGATAGTTAGCATTAGCCTTTTACTTGACTTCAGGCTTCACAGGGAGAAAAATTCGAGAGGGGGGTTGGTGAAACAGAAGAGTGTTTCAAAGTTGTAAAAGAGACAGATATAAAAATAGGAAAAGGTGGGGTGAGTACTGTGAAAGTGGGCGAATATGACATATAGTGGGGTGATGGCAGTTTGAAGTCAGAAGTCAACTGCCAGTTAATAGACCTTTTGCCGTATGAGTACACGTTGCCCAGGGTGTACCACGTGGAGGTAAGTCTATAGCACACCCCATATTCTGAAGATAACAAAGTGTACTTTCGCCCGCATCGTGTTCAAACACTTTTGCCACTATTCCAGTTGTAAGGGCGGTAAGTTTGGCAAGATCGGTTTCCTTGGGAAACCTGTATTTATTATTTACCAGTGTCAATCTCTGAGGGTGGAAAAAGGCTCCGTTTTAGCTTGAATATGATTGCATTAATCAAGAAATTGCGGTGACCTTATTAGAGTTGACTATTCATGAGTTTTGGAAGTGGTGAGAGTACAGCCTTCTTGCTGTTCCTTTAGGAGGCATGCTTGTTGTGTCCGATGATCAGGCACACATAAGATTTCGAGCAGTTTGTCACTTGGGCAAGTTTGTCTAGGAGAGAGGTCGCCTTGAAACGATTTCAGGCAAAAAAAGATTTCATGGAGTCTAGAAGACTCGCAACTTATCTATTTTCTATCTGCCGTCATTGGTCACCGTAACTAGGAAACACCTTTCGGAAGGCAGATACAATCGTAGATGGCATTTTTAATCAATTAAAATTCCTTGTTTTATCCACCATGTGCCTTGTCTCCGAGTGCATTACAGAATTTTACGGAAATCTGTGAACCTTGTGTTTTGCTGCTATGCTAACTATCCAATCACTTATTTGATTGGCAAGTATACGAATGGAACCTCAAATCCCAAGTGCTTTGTAAATAAGTCCTCCTGGAATTCATTTTTAAAAAAGCATTCAATGGACTGCCAGCCCGACAATGCTCGACTTGAAACTACTGCACTTGTTCATATCAAAATTTAACTTTTTGTGCCTTTATTAACTTCAATTCGAATAACTACTGCTTGCCTATTTTTTGCCTCATTTTTTAAAAAGATGTCCTCTTTGTTATATTTATTTCGAATGGCGGGCGTTTTGATAGTTACCATTAGCCCTTTAGCTGACTTCGGGCTTCACAGAGAGGAGGAGGAACATCAAAGTGACAAAAAGTCGAGAGGGGGAACAGAAGAATGATTCACAGATGTAATAGGCAGACAGACACTAGAGTAGAGAGTAGGACAAGGTGAGTACTGTGGAGGTGGTCGAATATGACATACAGTGGTGTCATAGTGATTTGAAGTGAGAAGTCAACCGCCCAGTGTGCACCACATGGAGGTAAGTCCATCGCACACCCCCCCCCCTTTTAGTTACAAAAGTATGCAAATAATGTTTGTCTCAAATGCACGACAAGTTTACTTTGAAGACCCAAAATTGCCCAACTGAAAAGTCGGAAACGACTAATCCTTCAATCCAACCCGCTGGCTAGTCCGCTCTGAGTCGCTATGTTGCACCTGGTACTACGGGGCAATGGGACGGACACAAGGGTAGTATAAA